TTCTGCTCTGCAGGCTGCTTCTGTGACTCTGCTCCCAGCACTGACCTGCTTCCTGGGCTGCTTTTCTGGCCCCTCTGGCTTTGGGGCTGCAGCTCCACTCCCAGGAAAGGGTCTGCTCTCTCTGGATCTGGCACAGCTCAGCTCGGGCCCCTGCTTTCTCCTTAGCTCGGCCCCACTCTGACCCAGGCAATTCCAGCTCACACAGAGGATGGGACCTCCCTGGCCTCCTGACTCCCTGATTAGCCTGCCCGCCCTGTCATTCAGGCTCACCTGGAGCATTGGCCTCTCCCCATTGTTCCTGGGGACTATCAGTCTCAGGGTCCTGGTTTCCCATAGACCCTTCCCCTTTTAGTACTGGGAGCTAGCCAACCAAAACACCCCCCACTGAATGTTAGTAAGGGGCAACAGTCCCCTTACACAAGCAACAAGCTACAAGCCAAAAACTTGCCAATCAGCAACTCACAAGCCAATTAAGCCAAAAACAAGCCCAATTTCTATGGTTTTTTTTGTGGGTTTGGCATGTCTGGTATAAACCCTCACAACTGGTACCACATCAGTGCAGAGTTCATGCCCTCTGAAGCAGACTAGTGATGCATCTCTGCCCAGCCATGATCCCAAGATCAATTTCCTTAATGAGGTATGTTTCAGACTTCCTGCAATATTGCAGTAGACAGTGAGGACTCATAAGATATACAGGCAGCACTGGAGTGGTTGCTTGTGGTGCTGAGGATTTACCAGCATGAAGGTCTTGCAGAAGGAAGGGAGATTTGCTGCTGCTCTTGCTGAACGTGATTAATGGGAGGTAGGGGAGGAGGAACTCTTATAGCTTCCCTTGCACATCTTGCCAAGACTTCAGCATCTGCCCTATCACACAATCATAGATGGGAAAGAGCTATTGGCTGCCATCTACTCCATCCCCTGCCAATGCAGGACTGCTCTTTGCAGTACATTTGCTTGCACAATTTCAGCATCTGCCTCTCCGGCTTCCGCCCCCACGTCCCCTACTTGTGTCCCTGCTGTTAACTGCAGCACTTCCCCGTGTCTCAGCTGCTGTTGACCTCTACCACTACTACACCATCATCCTCACCTGCTTCTCCCCCAGCTCTGCGATGACATTTACCCCCATCTTAAACAGAGACAGCCAGGGACTCTGGTGTTGATAGGGAGGAGGGTCTTCTCCCTCATCCCTTCCCTTCTCCCTTGTCCTCTAGCTCTGTCTTCCCCTTCTGCTGTTGTTTAGATTTAGCCACCCGAGTCTCCTATCACAAGAAGGGGACGCTCCTTTTATTTTTACGCCAAGGGAACAGAGTCACCCAGAGTGATTTTAACCAAGATTGGTTTTGTTGTTGTCCATTCCCACCTTTTCCACGATCTGGTTTCTATCGAGCGTGACGTGGTGCTGATCCCCCAGGCAGCACATCAACCCCCCAAAACAGAGCAGAGCCAAGAGAACGCCTCCTTTTCCTTTTAGCTCCCCCCCACCCGCCTTTCTCAGTGCTGCTAGCCTGAAGAGACGATTACACTGGAGAGCTCAGCTGCCATAGTGATGAGCAGAGTATAGAGTGAATGGATAGAGACAGACAGATGGAGCTTCTGTGAAATAGGGTATAGTCTCTGCTCTGCTCTGCTGTGTGTATGTGTGAGAGAGTGAGTGAGTGAGTGATTTTGAGGTCAGAGACCTCTCCTAAGTTTTGTCTGCTGTCGGCACACAGGCCAGCAACTCTGATGAAGTGCAGTTAAAAGTTTATTCAGATCCCTTTGTTTCTTTCCCCAGTTGCCAAGTACTCTTTACTCAGCTCCTGGCCGGCCCAGCACCAAAAACACAAGCCTGACTGCGGAAAAAGAGGGAGATGGGGAGGTGGATGGATATACAGAGGGTGGCTAGACAGAGCAGCAGGGGAATGCATTATCCTGTCATCTCTGGGAACTGACTTCTGAATCCAGACCAGGCTGACGGAACACATCAGTCTTAGCCACTTGTTAAATTAAAGGTCACTGATACAAGGAATTACAAGCTCTGCTGGAACAAGAGGGTGTTGACTGATGAAGCCTGCCCTGGGCTCGCACTAGAGGGGTGCACCTGCAGCTTTCAGGGTGAAAAATCTGTCCCCTTCAATTAATGTCCATTGAGAAGACAAAGGGACTTTGTGCCTCAGACACTAACAGCACCGTGTGAGGCTGCCATGCTCTTTGGGAAAACATCAGTCTTGCTCAGACCACAGTCGCATTATTTCCAGGCCAACGGCTTCTCTCCAAGAAAGGCTGCTGCTTTCACTTCCTCTTCAGCAGCGGCAGCCACACACAAACTGTCTCCTCCTCCCACAACCTTCACCTCCGAAATGGCTTTCCTGCTCCTGCACTCAAGTAGAAAACGCTGCCTCACTGCCCATCCAGTGTCATCGCCTTTTAACAATGACAAGAGACTAAGGTTGTGGTTCAACAAAATATCCTGACTCCAAGGACACCAGTAAATTGCCAAGGGACGCACAACTCTGCAGTTAAAGCCATGTGTTCCCAGGGGGGAGCAATAAAGAGTGTTTTACATGCAAGGATTTTGTTCATCTCTCTCATATGAGCCAAGTGATTCAAATTCATTAAAGACCTAACAGCACAAAATGTACCCTGCAGGTCATGCAATCAGAAAAGGTGATTGTGGCTTGGCTCTGCAATGCTTTTCCACGTGATGATCTGAAAGATCTTTATAAACATTAATTCATTTTCACAATCCTTCTGGGAGTTAGGCAAGTACTCTCCCTATTTTACAGGTGGGGAAACTGAGGCACAGAGTGATTAAATGACTTGCCCAAGGTCAATGAATCAGTTGCAAAGTCAAAGAGACCTTTGTTGCCCTGAGTCCTTTGCTCTTACCACTACACCCCACTGCCTTCCCTTCACTTAAGAAAATGCCAGTCTCTCTGCTTAGAGGAAGAGAAAAGGGTCATTCCTGCTCCACAAACACTGATTCTAAGCATGGACCTTCAGCCATCCTTGCTGCACTGCAGGCAGAAGAAACTTCTTGGCTCTGGGTGCTGGCTGGTGACTTTCATAACTGTAAAGTACTCAGTAAAACAATCTAGATACCCACTTTACAACAGCTAGAGAAAATTCTGTCTCCCATTGAGGACACGTCTTGTGGCACAATATATGGCTCATAATTAGACCCATTGTGATATAAGGTTCCCTCATACCCTGTTCTCTCTATAAACAATTTGGGGGGGGGGGGGAACCTGGGGACCTGCTCACTACACTAAAGAAATGAAGACTGGCCCAGGTCATCACTCTGGCCAGGCAATGGAGGGGCAATAAGCTCGCCCCACAATGAGGGCTGCCAAGTGCATCTTGCATGGCACTCATGCTGTTGCAGCAGCAGGTCACTAGAAGTTGCTGCGGGGCCTGCTCTGCCGGGAGCTCCTTTTTCTCTCCGGCACTGCTCCCCCTTCTGGATGACAGAGGGGAAGGAACAGTCAAGAGGTGGCAGCAGCCAGCGGGTCAGGGAGAGGCTCCAGCACCCTCCCAGTCAGACAGCCCCAACCCCAGGCTTCGGCCTCCCAGACTCCCAGCCAGATTCCCCTCAGTCCCCAGTGTAACCCCAGCCCCCAGAGAAAGACCCAGCTTGGCCCTCTTATCCCCTGAGAAACTCCCTCAGTTCCCAGCTTACCCACCAGACAATGAGCTCACATCTCCACAAAGCTCTCAGCTTCCATGCGCCTGTCCACCTTGTCCATCCCCCCCACAGTTCAGTCAGCGCCGGCCATCTACCCAGACGCTTTCCAGCACTCACCCCACCTCCAAGCTCCAGAGACCCTACCACTGTCCAGCACCCACCCATCTGTACCCTCATACCCTTCACCATTCACCCCACCATCTACCTGAGCTGCCCACACATATCCGCAACCCAGATGACAAGTTCTGTGCAGCTCCAAATGCCACCCACCACTGCTTGGGGCAGGGTGTGTTGACCACAAATGGAGGTTTATGGTCCTATGGAAATAATTAGCACATGTACAGACTTGTTCATTCTATAACTTGCATGCAACATCACATGTGGAGCTGCACAAACCTTGGCAGCTGTGCCCACTGCATGGCTGCGCACGGGTTGCTCACCACAGCAGTCCCTGCGATCTCTGAAGGAGGACTTGGAAAAGGAGAGGCTTGCAAGAGATGGAGCCAAGGCCCTCCCTTTGCCATCTACTCCCCAACTCCTGCAGCAGGGGCAGTGCAGAAGGAGAAGCAATCTGTGCTCTTTTCATGATTGAGAAGATGGTTTTCCCCCTTGCCCAAAAAGCAGTGCCCACCCAATCCCTCCAGTGCTCCACCAGGAATGGATGGTCTCCACACTTCCCCCCATGCAGGCACATGGGTATAAAGCTAGAATCTAGCCCTTTGTTTTGTGCAGAGTCTATCCAGGGAAGATACCAGTACCACAAGAACTTTGGTAAATACCCCCTGGAGCTATGAGCAAGCTAAAAGGTGGGGCTTTGTATCATAAATGAAACAGAGGAACCATCTGTGGGAAGGTCAGAGGAGCACATGTAGATAGACTTTGCAGACTTCTGTGCAGAGGGAACCTCTCTGAGAGATGGCAGCTAAGGTCACCTGCACCATTTCCATTTTTAAATTTGAATCTTTTCACAAATTCGTAGAAAAACTTCAGCTCCTATAGGGATCCCATGCTCATCGCACAGTTTAAGTATCTCCACTGGAAGACAATATCTGACACTACAGTGGTCTTTACTCTAGCCAAGAATGGTATAACAAGATCCTATGGCTGGAAATTGAAGCTAGAGTGGAGACAAAGATAGGCTGACCAGAAGCCCTGCAACATGGCCCCAGAATGGCTGCATCCTCATGAAGGCTTTGTAGACTCCGCTCTCCAGACAATCTTTCCAAGTCATTAGAGCACATCTCCAGTGATATTCACCAAAACAGAGCCATCACTATGGACAGCCACCAACTCATGGGAGGCAACTCGCCACCCAAATGGCCTCCACGTCTCTTACCTGGTGAGCTGCCGCTACAGAGTCATTTCTCTGAAGTCGCAGTAACACTCAGGCATTAGTACGGTGATCTCTGAAAGGGAGCCTGTGGGGACGAAGAGAGAGAGACGTCAAAATGTAGTTACCCAGGTTTTCTTTGAATCAGAAAACAACACACGTTAAGTGATCATACTCTCAAACTTCAGGTTTCAGAGTAACAGCTGTGTTAATCTGTATTCGCAAAAAGAAAAGGAGTACTTGTGGCACCTCAGAGACGAACTAATTTATTTGAGCATAAGCTTTCGTGAAGTGAGCTGTCGAAAGCTTATGCTCAAATAAATTGGTTAGTCTCTAAGGTGCCACAAGTACTCCTTTTCTTTTTGCGAATACTCTCAAACATACACACACAACCAACACACCCTCCCCAGGTACTCCAGTCACTCCCAGACCTTCCCGCTACCTTTCCTCACGAATATGCAGCAGGCTTTTTCTTTCTCCACTCTGCTGTTTCCACACTCCCATCTCTCACCCGGCTCCATTTTTCACCCCATTCTTGCACGGGATTTTGTTCTCCCTACCCCAGTCCCTACACCCTCTCTATGTGGGACATGAACCTAAGATCATTCCAGTTAGAGCTGAACTTGTGACGCTTCCAGCATGAGTACTGAATTAGACCAGACCTGTTCACCAAGCCCCTACTTTTAGTTCTCCTCCTTCACGTTCTGGTATTGTGGGGTCACTGTTCCATCAGTGGGGTTCAGTAGTGTTTGCTCTGAAATAATGCCCACAGAACGATGGTGTCACATAGAGCCAGGCTTTTTATGTACATTTAAACGGATTTATTTCCAACCACAGAGGCAGGGGAGGAAACCTTTGAAACAAACTGATTGTTGGTGGCCAAGACCAGGGAACTGGGTCGTTGTGGACTCCCGGTCTTAGGGGGCACTATCAAAGGGAACAGTGATGGATTCCTGAAGCTGGTAGACAAGCTGTAGTGAAGCTCTTGCTGAAGACAGTGCTGACTGCCTCTCAGATGCTGAAACTAATCTCTGGTATGCACTCCTCTGATGGGGCGTTCACCCCACCCCACTCCTGAGGGGGTTAAAATGGGATGCTTGACCTGATGGGCTGCACCGGGGTGAGGTGTAGGCTGGAAATACAGCCCTAACTGACCTGAAGCCGAGCTAGACAGGAAGAAGAGGGGCTTGTATAAAGCCAGGGAGAGCAGGAAGGGGCCCTGGGGGAGAGAGTTGGCAGTCACTCTCACGGTTGAGAAAAAGGAGTAGGAAGAAGCCAAGGGGAAAACAGCAGCCAGGGTGAGACCACAAGGACCCTAGCTGCTGATTGTAAAGTCTCGGAAGATGCACGCACACAGCTCCCAGTGAAGCTATGCAAGTGCATCTCCTGGGCTAATTGGCAATGGGAAGCTGGAGTAAGCTGATGGCTGTAGGGAGGAGAGCCAGAAGGACGGGACTGGCTCCAGAGATGCAGTTGCAGTCAGTAAGAAGGGAGGTTGTGCAAAAGTTCAGGAACTGGGGAAGATCCAGTCTTTTCAAACTGGGGGGACGGAAGGCCAGATAGTTGTCTTCATCGGCTCACTGCAGTGAATTCCTCCTCGGCATTCTAAGGGGTGTTTATAACCAGGCGATTATTTAGGACAAAGTGGGCTAAATTTTACTAGACAACGTGCACCCCGTCACAAAAACGTACCCATGAAAAGAGTCTTCAAATGGCTGCTCAGATCCGTTTAATGCAGATCTAAGGAAAAGACAATATGGTTCCAGGAATAACAGCAGCAAGAGGAAGCCTCTGACAGCTGCCATTGTGCAGTGTCAATGAAAGTGCCTTCAGACAGCCCCTGCAGAAGGGCTATGCTGTCAGTGCATACTAAACCTGCCAGGCAGTGTCACATCAGCTGGCTTCGCTCTCCAGTACACGCTAGTTAGAACAGCTACAGTATTGTTGCATAAATCCGAACTTCCGTCTGTTCTGACCAATGTCCAGAATCTCCAGAAGGGGAGCAGCCCCGATGAGAGAAATGTGTGTGAAAGCATCGAGGTGGGACAGGTTGCATGTGCGCATGCAAATGAGAGAAAGAAGGAGGCACAGCGAGAATCTATGGGAGAAATTAAAGACAACTGTAAGACTCTGCCCTCATACAGCACCTTTTGTTTGAGGGTTTCTAAGCTCTTTATAAATGTTAATTAATTCTCACAAAAGACCTGTGAGGTGGGCAAGTAACATTATCTGTTTTTACAGATGGGGAAACTAAGGCATAAAGTCCCAATGTCATTGTGCCAGAACCAAAAATAGAACCCAGAATTTTTGAGCCCAGGTCCTATGCCCCCTTTACTGCACTATGCTTCTTCCCAGACCTTTCTGAAAATACACACTGACATGGTCATTCTCCTCGGCCATTTAGGTCATTTTGCTTTTGTATGTGAGAAGGAAGAACTACAAAGTCAATTCTTACTCAAGGGTTTAATAAAAATGGACATCTTAAGGTTTCTTCATAATTCTTCAAGTCATTTTCTCCACTATCCATCCCACTGAAAATAAAACATGATTAAATAACTTATTGGAAATTGAAATCTGACCCCCTATTAATGTTTTTCTTCCATTGTGCACACACATACACGCACAGTACATACGATATCACATACAAACTTACTGGTACTATAGGGCTGATCATAAGCATTGGGATTGTTCACACTGGTTTAATATAAAAAACTAAAGCATTTGTTCTGAAGGAAAAATCTGCACAGAAAGAACAACATCTAATTGGGAACAAAGAAAAACCTGTTGAATTTTGAGGCTTTCAACTGTCTTTTAAGGACAAGTCTTAGTGAATTTAACAGGGATGAAACCAATAGGTCTATAAAAAAAAACTTTACAGAGTTCTATAAAAATAACTTTAACAGCCCACAGGATTTACTAGAGAATGAGGTCCTTTTTATAGGTTTTTTGAACCTGCCTATGGAATTCTACAATATGGATATATTTCTCTTAAATTCTATAGGCTATGTCACAAACGTTGGAAAAGTTACCATTTTCTATTAAATTCCGTAGGACTTCATTGTCCCTTTCACTAAAATAAGTCTACCCACCTTCTTGAGAATTATTTAGTAGGCAATCAAATTTCTGTAACCTGCCGACATTCCTTCCCACAATGCCTCTGTCCTTAGAGAGCTAGAAGTGTTTATAAAAGGCCAGAAAAAGCTCACTGCAAGCAAAGTGTATTGAATATAGTATGTGTAATCTGAAATTTACATTTCCCCCTCTAGTTTAGGAACTGCAGTTTCTGGAAGGCTCAAGATCCAATTTTAATCCAATGCCCTCCATTCCCAAATAAATTGTATTATCTACAATAAATACTCCAGCCCTCTCCGTGTTTTGTTTTCCCTTTGAATCTCAGGATCACACTACTTGCAGGAGAGAATTATGTGGGAAAAAATTCTACTTTCCCAGTGGCTTTAAGATCTGTATATGTTCTGCTTAAGTGGGTAAAGGTCTGTTTTTCTATCTAGGTGATTAAGACCCAGCCATCACCAATGTGTGGGAGAGCCTGACAAAAATTACTAACGTAGCGATAGGCACAGATGTCTAAGTCTGCACATAGACTTAGAGTTCTGCATGTGTGCAGCCTGTATAATATCAGAAGTGAGACTGCATGCTAAAACCAACCAATGCTTCAGCAGCAAGGCTGCATATGTCTTTATAGCATATTCTTATAGTGCTGTACAGTGAGAAAGTGTTTTGCGAATCAACTTTCAAATGTATTAAATATCAATTGAACTTTTACAGACATTTTTAAAGGGCCCTAAGTGAAACTGCGCAGTAACAATAACAGTACAGTAAACAATACTTTCTGGTTATCTGGCACCTCCCATCTGATGCTCTGAAAGCAGTTTTACAAACGTTAAATAATTTAGCATCATAGTGCAGCTAGGACATGGGTATTATTGGACTATAAGGTGGATAGAAAGTTGGCTAGATTGTCGGGCTCAACGGGTAGTGATCAATGGCTCCATGTCTAGTTGGCAGCCGGTATCAAGCGGAGTGCCCCAAGAGTCGGTCCTGGGGCTGGTTTTGTTCAATATCTTCATTAATGATCTGGAGGGTGGTGTGGATTTGCAGATGACACTAAACTGGGAGGAGGTAGATATGCTGGAGGGTAGGGATAGGATACAGAGGGACCTAGACAAATTAGAGGACTGGGCCAAAAGAAATCTGATGAGGTTCAACAAGGACAAGTGCAGAGTCCTGCACTTAGGACGGAAGAATCCAATGCACCGCTACAGACTAGGGACCGAGTGGCTAGGCAGCAGTTCTGCAGAAAAGGACCTAGGGGTTACAGTGGACGAGAAGCTGGATATGAGTCAACAGTGTGCCCTTGTTGCCAAGAAGGCTAACGACATTTTGGGCTGTATAAGTAGGAGCATTGCAGCAGATCGAGGGACGTGATCATTCCCCTCTATTCGGCATTGGTGAGGACTCATCTGGAGTACTGTGTCCAGTTTTGGGCCCCACACTACAAGAAGGACGTAGAAAAGTTGGAGGTTCCAGCAAAGAGCAACAAAAATGATTAGGGAGCTGGAGCACATGATTTATGAGGAGAGGCTGAGGGAACTGGGATTGTTTAGTCTGCAGAAGAGAAGAATGAGGGGGGATTTGATAGCTGCTTTCAACTACCTGAGAGGTAGTTCCAGAGAGGATGGTTCTAGACTATTCTCAGTGGTAGCAGATGACAGAACGAGGAGTAATGGTCTCAAGTTGCAGTGCGGGAGGTTTAGGTTGTATATTAGGAAAAACTTTTTCACTAGGAAGGAGGTGAAGCATTGGAATGAGTTACCTAGGCAGGTGGTGGAATCTCCTTCCTTTGAGGTTTTTAAGGTCAGGCTTGATAAAGCCCTGACTGGGATGATTAAATTGGGGATTGGTCCTGCTTTGAGCAGGGGGCTGGGCTAGATGACCTCCTGAGGTCCCTTCCAACCCTGATATTCTATGATTAGACTGGCTGTACAAAGGACTGAACTGAGACAACAGTGAACGGATAAGTGATTTGCCAAAGATTACACACCAAATCAGGGGCAGAAAAGGAAGAGA